GTGTGGTGTGATGGTGTTGTTGTGCTGGGGTGGGGTTGTGTGTGGTGGTGTGATGTGATGGTGTTGTCGTGCTGGGGTGGTGTTGTGTGTGGTTGTGTGTTGTGTGTTGTGTTGTGGCGCGAGTCGATGTCTTTGCGTCGGCTGTCTCCGGGGGGCTGGCTGGCTTCTCCCTCCGCGGTGAGCCCCCGAGAGCCGGCGGCAATTCCTTACTGGGGGGCGCGCTCCGATCGGAGGAGCGGTGCCCCCTCTCCCAGGCGCCCCTGGGGGTCTGGCTCTTCGGATCCGAAGGCCCAACTCTCCCGGGGAGCTGCGGGAAGCAGGAAGTGACCTCACGCAGGGGGGCGGAGCTTGCAGACGATGCCTCGGTCTCCTGGCCAGCGTGTTGGCCTGTCGCGGCTCTGCAGGTGGGACTCTTTGTCTTTATTCTGAACCTCTCTTGTGTGTGTCTGGTAACAGACAGCGGGCGGGCCTGTCTCTCCCCACCCTGTCTGCTCTGTAATTACAGTGCAGTGCAGGGAGAGGCTGTGTGTGTGTGTGTCTGAGGAGCTCCCTTCCTCTCCAGCCTCTCTGCAAGGTCCTCTGGGCAGGGCTGTATGTCTGAGGTCACTGCATCCACACACGGAGCACACAACCCTGCAACAACTGGCTCCCTCTCTCTTTCACTGTGGGGAGGCAGTGACCCGTCTGTCTCTCTCTCTCTCTCTCACTGTGGGGAGGCAGTGACCCGTCTGTCTCTCTCTGTCTCAGCATGTGGATGGGGTGACCCGTCTGTCTCTCTCTGTCTCAGCGTGTGGATGGGGTGACCCGTCTCTCTCTGTCTCAGCGTGTGGATGCAGTAGCCTGTCTGTCTCTCTGTCTTGGCGTGTGGAATGCAGTGACCCGTCTGTCTCTCTGTCTCGGCGTGTGGATGCGGTGGCCCGTCTGTCTCTCTGTCTCGGCGTGTGGATGCGGTGGCCTGTCTGTCTCTCTCAGAGCTGCTTGCTCAGCTTGCGGACCTGTCTCTCTTTGGCCTCGAAGGCGGCCTTGGTGTCCAGCAGCTGGTCGATGTTGCGGCGGATCTCCACCATGTCCACCTGCGCGCGGGCGCACTGCTCCTGCAGCTCCGCCCCCTCCCGCCGCAGGGCCTCCGTTGCCGCGGCGACCTCCTCGCTCTGCCCCCGGCAACGCGCCTTCAGAGCCTCGGCTTCAGCCAGGAGGGTCTCCACGCTGCGCACCACGGACTCCATCTGGTCCCGGGACATCGCGAGCACCCAGAGGGAGCAGACTGCAACAC